GCAGGGTTGTGAACCACTCAATCCTGACACATTGGCATAATAAGTATGTCAATTTTGTCGGTCTAAGTTCAATCCCAGACCGTTTCCCATAAGAATAACGGAAGAATAACGGAAGAATATTGAAAGAAAAGAAAAGAAAAGAAAAGAAAGCCGTGTAGATCGTCGAGCCGTAGGAATAATGATGATGACAAAATATGCACGAGACTCTGTATACCTCCAAAGGAATTCAGGCGCGTGATCCAATGTCCATTTCCAGTTTCCTAATTTTTACCCTTTATAGATCTGCAAATGCAAGCTCATAAACTAATCCAAGCGTCATCTTCGCATGTTGGAGCATGTGGTCGAAGTCGAGGGAGCTGACCTCGTCTCGTGTCGTGTGAATGAGTTTACTGGAGTATTCGAATTTAGACTCGATGACGAAGGCAGAGGGGTAGCCGTATCGGCTGGCGGAGGCGTGGTCGGAACAGGCGTACCCACACTTTGTGAGGACGTAGGATATTCCGCAGTACTGTTGTTTTTTCCCGGGTGGAAATCATGGGTTCGTTAACATACATTGTGCCTAAAGTTAATTTGTTTAAAGGGCGCATGGGTATATATATATATCGCATGTTGCGTATTGTTTGGAAGGAAACTCACCCCAGTGACCACCTTCGTAATAAAATTAGTCAGCCCTTCATCAACAAAGTCTGTGATGATGCCAACGGAATCCACATGTCCGGCATTCATAGTCCCCTTTGAATAACCGGTCATATCCTGCTGAAGCATCGACTTGACATCCCTATTATCCTGTTTGTACTGGGCGAATACAGCTTGAGATCCCAACAAACCGGCTTCCTCTGCAGAGTACCAATGGAATTCAACCGTGTTTGGCGCTTTACCCTGTGCAACGGCTTCTGACTTGAGCAGGATGCGCAGTGCCTCAAGAATAGTGGCTGTCCCACTGCCGTCATCATCTGCACCAGGAGCAGGTAGAATCGATGGCATTAACAAATTGATGCTGTCCTGATGTGCACCGACTACAACGGTCTTGTTGGTTTGGCCAGGGATAGTTGCGATGATACTGAACTGGCCCCAGGGATGCTCGAATTTCTCAACCCTCGCCCCCGTTGCCGAAGATTCCTGGATGATCTTCTCAATCTGCTCGAACAACCAGATTGCAGACTGCCGGCCACTCTCGGATTTATAGTATCTCGTATGGAAGGAGGTGAATTTAGTTAGAAATGTTTGCAATCTATTCTTGGATAGGCTGGAGGCTAATTTCTTGACGTGGGCTACATTCTGTAGCTCTGAGGGGAAAGTGACGGTAGTCTGGGCGAAGGTTTTAGGGAATACATTCTGCTCGGCCTCGGCGGTGATGTCGAAAAACCTTCGGCCATCCTATAGGAGTATTAGCAAAATACACAGGGTTGACAAGGGGACCGAAAAACATACCCGTCTCAGTCCCCATTTCTCCTCCTCAGTAACCCAGCGAGTATCACCGGGGCCAAGCTCGATCAGAAACTTCCCAAGATGCACATCCTCAATAGTGTCGCCAATGGGCTTTTGATCGGGAACCGCTGCCACAATCGTTGTTGAAGCCGCGACGCCCAAGCTCAGCAAGCTGGGAAGCTTCATCGTAGCGTGCAGAGCAGTCAATTCCAAGATAGAGGAAGCAAGCTTCAACGTGATACCGCAACTGATGTGATTGGACCTATGCGAGGGAATAAACTGGAGATAACGAATTGACCAGTATGAAACCGCAGGCAGCACAGATGCAATGATAAAACATAGAATATAGAACCGTTGGATAGGAAGGTGGACGAGGAATGCCACGATGAGCGGCGGATGATGGACGACTGACGACGACGACGGTCTGTGCCCGGCATTGGCTGATCAGCCGCTTGCCGATGGGGCTCATTTTAGGGTCTAGCCCGGGCGGGGCAAGCGCCGCCCGGGCCGGGATTTCTCCCGCTCTGCTGCTATTCTTGGCGGGGCAACACGTGAATGGAAAATATATAACGCCTTAAATCACCTCAACAAACCTCGTGATGTAGACCTGCTGTCCCTCTGCTTGCCGTGCATCTCTGATCCATCGGTGGGGTGATGAAAGCTAGACAATGAATTAATTACACTGACCTTGGGAAGGGCTTGTTCCTAGATAACCTTACTCAAGTGATGGGCGGCGGCATTTTGCTTCTTCCAGTCGTAGTAAACTATTTATAGTTTGTTTACCAGTTGACAAATATTTTTAGAAAGCTGGTTTGGCTCTGGGAGGCAATTCGCAAAAGAAAAGCCATACAGGATAAACTGTAGAAGAGCTCGTAGTAATGAACAAACAACCCCATGCTGGTACGGATATTCCGAGTTCTGTGAGCCTGGACACGTCGTGATCAAGTCATTGCGGTAAGATCACACATGTAAGAAAACACACACATTATTGGGATTCATCGGTGACGGCTTCGGCAAAATCATCTGAGGAAAAGGGAATGGGAGGAGAGCAAGAACAGGAAACGGAGGAAGACAAACGCCCTATTGCGAAATATCTAAACCCAGCATCAGAGAGCGGGAGAATACCTGTCCGCTAGGTGGGTATGTTTCGGTTTATCCTACGAATTATTGAGAAGTCCAGTTCAGAAATTTCTTATGCAATGGTATAGTTCTTTCATCAGTTCATGTACGAGGCTCATCGCGATGACTAGAATTGCGGCGTAAACGACAGAAGCCTCAACCCAGACGCCAGGGTTTTTTTTTTTTTTTTTTTTTTTCGTGTCGTTTTTTTGCGTAGGGATTGCATTAAGAGTTGGACAGGTCCTGTAATGTATGAACTGTGCATGTATCTCTTCGGATGCTCTAAAACCGCGTCCTAGTCAAGCCTCATCTGGTAGCGACTGTCTATTCCCAGAGCCCATTTCCAAAAAAAAAAAAAAAAAAAAAAAAAAAAAAAAAAAAACCGCCGCCATTCCTCGAGAATCCGACTGAAACCAGAGTGTTGGGGTTGGGGAGGGTCATTTCTTGGAGTGTGAGAGCAACTCATCTTGTAGCACGAAGGCGACTTGAATGAGAAGAGTGAAAGTCGTCCTCCCTGAGCAGATTCTGCGGGGACCAGCTTCGAGTCATACGAATGCAGGGATCGTCTTGGCGAGAGTCATCGTAATTGGAATAAATGGCATTCGATGCGTTCTCACTGCCGCTGTCCCTTCTCTCCAAATGCTGCAAATTTTGCAAGTTTTGCAAGTTTTGACATCCAAGAGGTAATTAACTAGAACTAGTTGAATGAATCAAGATGTAAATTGTTCAGGCAGGGGAACTTTCCGTTCGTGTTCGGAAGTTCCAGGGCTAGCTGGGCTGGCAATTATGACTCAGCTGCATGACTCAACCCTCAGTTATGATTGGCCAGCACATCCCAACCATCGCTGTGTGTTGAACTTGGGCTCCATCTCCTTCTCCCTTTAAAAGCCCGCTCCCGCAGCATTCCTTGTTCAGGCCAGCTGAATCCCGTTCGCTATATCAAGTGAAAGACTCAATTCCGTTCCAGAGGCTATTGCCCCCTCATATTTCGGTTTCGCCCCTCGTTTGCGGTCCAATTTGGGAGATTCGACGCGCTTAACATTCAATTGCTAACGCTCGTTATGGCTATTCATCCAACGCTCCATACTGAAGGTTCTCTGACGCCACAACATGTCCAGGTGATTTCTGGCTGGCTTCAACAATCCGCCCAGTCTATCCACAGCGACGGAGCTGGAGTTAACCCCACTGCAAGAGTGCCGGGAACCTCAGTGTCCCTAGCAATCCCCTTGGACGAGGAGCACACTCCACTCACCAGCTTGCCATTACCTGTAAGGACAACTGCCAATGGCGATACAAACTCCCATGTCGTCTCTTCTGCCACGTATAGCCGCAGGGAGCCACTCCGCCGCGATAGTCTGAAAAGACGCGATGCCCTCCTGAAAGGCAAGGAAGGAAGCCGCCGTAGACAGCGCTGGGAAAATGGTATGTAGAGAACTCACCCGACCTGTTTGCCCAGTCACATGCATGAGCCCGCCAAAAACACACCCGCATCGTTAGGGCCATGCGCCTATGTCGCATGTAACCGCCCCGAGCGGCTAATGGCCCGAGCCACCATAACCCCCATGAATAATTTATGACTATATCTTCCACCACCGCTGCTTTATGTCATCATTTATGCACGTCTTGCAGCTCAAAACATCGAACTATTAAGATTTAGCGGCGCTGACAAGACGCCTGTCCACTATTTTCTTGGACTCTTCTGCTCGTTTCCCAGACCGCCTTCTTCATAATCCTTGGGCTCAACCACCCTCTGCGATCGATTGGCAGGTCCAGCCCACCTACCAGCGCCGTACGGTTCCATATTACTTAGCTCCGCTCTGGGATTCCCACTTCGCGGCTAGGGAACAGGCTAAAAGTAGCAACAAGCCCCTCAAGGCCAATCATAAGGATGGTAGTCCGGTTGTCCAATCCCAGATCCCCAAGGATCTGCGGCTGAAATTAAAACATGCTCGAGCTGCCCGTGGGTTATTGCGGGATCTTGAGGAGAAAATTCGCCTGTTTGTTCAAAGGTATTATGAGAAGCAGGTTGTTTCGGCACAGGACGAGGACGAGGTAGAGCTGGATGGCGCCCCGTCTCTTCTTTCCGATGAGGAAAGATGGGAGAAGCTGCAAGACAAGGCGGAGACCGAGACCGAGACGGAAAAAGAGTGCGATTCTGATGATGACGAAATTGTATTCGTCGGTAGAAAGGGGCGGATGCTCGATGCGTCAGCAAACCATAATCGGACAACGAAGATCATTCATCCCGATGTCGACAGGCCGGCTAAGGAGGAAGTTGGTGAGAAGATGGTCTTCGAAAGCCTAGAGGGGGATCGCGCTGCTGGCTTCGGGTTCGTCCTAAATGAATCAATTTTTGTTTCCTCACCCTCACCTTATTCTCTCCGAAATGTTTCCCCCTTGCTCCTCAGCTTCCTTTGTTCACTTCTTCGAGACCAAACTAACCAATCTCCATCCAGCCGCTGGCTGGTCCACTCTCTCGCCTCCTACTACGGCCTGCGCACCTGGTCCGTTACAGTTGGCAATCCAGCCCGTCGCGAGGCGTACGTTGGCATCAATCATCCACAGCCCGCCAAGCAGCAGCGGCAGCAGCAGAATCATCGGGATTCTCTGCCCTCAACGATGCCGGGAAATAATAGCTCGCCCATACCTGCGGTCGGACGTCATGTTGCCAAAGCAGCAAGAGGTCAGCCGGACGACATACTCCCTCAGCCTCTGTGGGTGGCTGTTGGTGTCTCTTGACTTTATTTTAGTTGATAGATTGCCGCTTCCGCGGTTGGGAGAGCGATTTGTAAACTAGGGAGGTGGCGATTGCTGCCGTGTGCCATTCTGCTTTTTTTTGTGTCTTCATTCTAGAGAGAAGATTTTTTATTATTTCCGTGCCTATTCTATTTGAATTCCGTGTCTTTTTTTTTTTCGTCGTTGATCCTTTGTGGGCTTTTACCTCCTTTGGGAAGAAGGGAGGTTATGGCAACAGTTCACTCGTACATGTCTTATGAAGTGTGCGGTACACAAACTGCGTTAAGCCACCCTGATCCTTGTCCTCGATTTTAGATGTTTGGAGCAGAGATTTCATTCATGTTGGGATTGTTACAAGAAATGAGAGAAATAAATGAGAAGAAAAGAGAGACGAGAGAGAGAGAGAGAGAGAGAGAATGTGTTGACATCAACATATATATAATTTTCATATTCTCTACATAAATTTGTTTTTTCCCCGAATATTCGCATTTGCTAATTTTGCGTGTTTTCCGATGGTTGAAATTTACTGATCAAAGCACAATTGCTATGCGTGCCGGAATATCTTTGACCGGGCGAGAAGGGCCTGTTTACATATCAGACGTATCCACCGTCTCGTATGGGGCCCGGTAAAGAGGAAAATAGGAGCATATATCAGCCCGCATGTTCCGAGACGAATAGAGAAAGGAGCGAACGAGAAAACGACAACTGTATATACATACAGCACGGTGTAATAGGCAGTTCAGCATGAGGAACACATATCTGCTACATTCTAGCAGACGTGACGCCGTTTAATGAAACCAGGACGACCGGGAAGAATATGCTGAGCAAAGTCAGTGCCCTGACTGAGATTTTCCCAGTCGTATCTCCTTGTTTTCTGTGAAATACCAGCCGCCCTTTCTTTTCGTAATTGTCATCATGAAGCAAAAGCTCATTTTTCCATTTCATTGCAACCGTTGCTGCGGGAGAGTTTCTGCAACGGGCACAGGCTATGCTTCTGCTGGCTTTTCTAGATCTATTTTTTTCAGTTTTCTCATTTTTACGACATATTTTCTGTTATGCTGCCCACCTGTTTTGACACCCAGGGTTCGCAGCACTACGGCTAGCCAGCGCTTATGTCGTGGTATGTTGGTGGCCCTCCTCACGTTATTGAGCGATGCAATTTTGGATGCAGGGCGACCGTGACGCGTCAATTAATGACCGTTCGTAGGAGTTAGGTATCGTTGAAATTCATTCGACGATGGGGATTTGTTTTCTTCTCCTTCAACACCTCTCTTCCCTTGCCCATTCTTGTTCTCAACGAATGCTGAGAATCCTTATCGATCGTCAAACAAACCAAATTTTCAACCGGGAAACACTACCGAGCCTGGTCTCTTGGATTGTCTGGTTGATCATCAGCAATTGCACAGGAATTTAGGCTGCTTCCACATGAGAGGGAGATGAGTGGTGAACTTGAACGACTCTCCTCCCTTTGATGAGCGTGGGGAGCGGTTGATGGACATGTTGAACAAGCAATATCTATTTGCCTTCACTGACTCTTTAAAGGCGATTCAACACCGGAATAATCTCTCTTCTATTAAGTATTCATACCGCTGCAGCTCATCGTGTATATAACCATCAAGTAATACTACTTACTCACACCTTGGAATAAAACTCTTTTGATATTTCGACCCGCTCTTGAAAACAGGCCGATAACGCACGAATAATCCACTGTATCACATAGATCCTATGCCCCTCTCCTTTTCTTTCCCCTCACTACCTCGCCTTCTGAACAAAGTCCACAAGTCTTTCCCACTCCTACAAACGTACGATGCACTGAACTCATACCATCGGCACCCTGCGGTTCGCGATGACTGCAGCTACTTCCGATTCCTCTTTCCCAATATCATCCAAAAATACCCGCAGTTGAACAAGCTGGCCGACGAACGTGAGATCCCTTGAAACAACGCCTCGAAATGAGGCCGTTTCAGAACCCAAGCTGTGGCGGGTGGCAGAGGGGTCTAGCTTCGACAAACGGCTTTCGGAAGTTGAGCTTGTTGAACAGCCCCTCAATGAAGGAGCGGAAGATGCCTGCTTCTGGCTCCCGAGCTGCGAAGGACCTAGCGTGATGTTGAATGCATGACACGTCCTGTGAGGGTTTGTGCTTCGGGTGTTAGCAGGTTGAATGCCACGGAGTGAAAGCAGAATCGGCGCAGATGCAGGAGTTACTTTGCACACTTATTGGCTTGCTGGATGATGGGAAAGATAAAAGAACAGGTGCGAGTGGGGAATGTGTTTGCAACGTAGCATTTGGGATATGGATTGCTTACACTTTAGAGGAGATTCATGAATTCGGCAAAAGAGAATCGATAGGTTTATTGATGCTAGGTAAGGGGGGTGAGTATTGAAAATTGCCTTTGATGACGATCTAATATTTTCTTCTTTTCCCCTCTATTCTACTCGTGTCAGCTTCAATCTAGATATAATAAGACTTAAGTCTATAGAAAGGCTCAGTGAAAAGAAAATGCTGTATGCAATGACTCTACGTATCTAGATACTATTCAAGGACTTGCAATTGTTGATTTGTTTCTGCCAATGGGTTAATTGTCATTTAATTGATGACTGGAATATAGCTAGATGCGTCAATATAGTTCAAATATCTAGGGGTAAATTGGGAAGTGTGGTGCTGTTTCTTCTCTAGAAAAGGGCGGGCAATGCTGTTTGCCGTTCTCATTCACGTTACTTGTGGTAAAGGATGGAGAGGGAGCGGGTGAATTGCCTTCACGCCTGCGAGATGGCAACGTGCTTATACATGGTCTCATCTAGCATCCACTTAGGAATTTAAATGCGCTTACGGGAGACTGTCAGACATGAGCGTGTACATACATATGCATGTTGTATTCACATGCGTAACGTACAAATGTCGTGATCTTGAAGTAACCCCGGATAGCTACTTTCTAATACCTGGCTATATGTACAAGCATGTACAATACATGCTAAACATATATTGCCTTGGGAAGCGAGAAAGGGTAATTGAGGAAAGGGTAATGGTAGACATAGCAGGCAACGTAATTCCATAGCACAAATAAAAACAAATAACCGCGCCCATCGAGATTGCTATCCTCCTGTTGTGCTCCGAAAAGCTGAGAAGAAGCATCTATAATATACAGCGATATCGCACAACAGGTGCCTGTATCCCAATTCCTGAGTAACATGCGACTGGTGCAGAAAAAAAAGGGGGCCATCAGATAAGTTCCATAGCCCCTATATGTAGTTTATACCTTTGTATAAAGTTCTGTCATTCCCACTCTGTTTCACCATTATTTTTACATACGCAAATAGTCCTCCTACCCTCCTTGATAAGAACAATATCTAGCAAATTTAATTTCTCTCCTTCGTTTTCCTTTACCTTCCCCCTGGAAACTCCGTGCACTACTTGTCCACGGAGAGGATATCTAAACATGAAGCTCCTTTACACCCTTGCCACCGCCCTCCTCACCCTCACTGCAACCACCAAAGCCGCTCCACAGCTGCCGCTGCCACTTGACACCGTGACCGGCATCGTTGGCAGCCTTCCCGTTGTAGGGGGGATTGTCGGCGGCGGACCCCCGGTTAAAGTTCGACAAGCTCCGGATGAAGACGGCGGGGACACGGACAGGAAGTGAAGTACAACGCAAGTCTGTAGGTTTGGCTACTTTGATTCGTTTTACCGGGATGATTGTCATCAGCGAGCTAATAATGCGAAGAACGTCTATAGATTGTCTCCGCTCCTAGTTATATGTGGTCATCATGAACGATTGGAAATGGATGGAATGCGGGTGTCATTCTTAGGATAGTTGACCTTGGTTCAGGCATCTCTTTGCTGGCAGTGTTGTATTTCGAATGCGAGGGTTAGAGCTCTTCGGAGAAGTTGTTTGGATAAGGAGGTGGGACGTTTGGAGAACGGTCCTTTCAAGCTAGATTTGCGTATCAAAGTGGTAAAGTTATCTTTGTGTGAAAAACGGAAGTGGATGCCTTGCTTCGATTTCGGATTCCTGTCATAAATATTATCAGTCAAGATATTTTACCAGTAATGCACTTGTGATAATCAAAAACCAAATCTCGGAAAAAAGCGTGCAACTATCTATACCTGGACTGTAGACAATGACCAGTGCAATATGTATTAGCACACATGATTGACTGGCCAGATATAGGTGCTAGATGGCAGCCATGTCTGGATGCCGAGTTGATAGGCTCTTTGTACTAATATCCGCGAAAACGAAGAAGTGGAAGAAAATAGAGTAATTGGGGAAATTCAGCCGGCCGGGGTTCACTGATTCCACTTCCATGCCCCTGAAGTAGCATATGGCTATGAGTCCAAACTCCCGTCTTTTGTCCAGTAGACCGACTAGCCCGGTTACTTTCGAGATTGTACTGGATATACCAGTGCACCTAGGGTTGTGAGTTGGCGTCCAATGTCCTCCCTCTTCAGGCAGGATTAGCTTCTTCACGCAATGCTTAGACTGGTTGCGCATGACCGTCGACCAGACTGTGGCAGGTATCGTTCCTGAGACCTGACTTTCCCAGAAAAGTGATAACAATCATTTTGCTGGGGAAACCCGTAGACATCCTATCATTGATCCGAATGCATTAGCTGAATCTAGATCCCTTTTCGCAGGTGAAAACACGAAAATCCCTGAAGTCACTCTTCCGTGCACTAATTTGTGGTCAGACCATTTCACCCCTGCTTGGAGTAGGAGTGGAAGAAAATGTGAAGTACGAGTGTCTTAGTTACCTAAAATCTTTGCAGACAAGGGTGTTCAGTGTTTGGTTAGACTTTTGAGATCAACTAAGTTGCTAACTCGCAGTCTAGCTTGACTACGGAGTGTGCCATGCTTGTTGATCCAACAAAACCTTAAAAGGACAACAACGTGCTTCAGGATTGAAAAATGTGATTCCCATTCTTGCAACTTGATATTGATCCGGCTGCCAGAGATCAAATGATAGATACAGGATCTACCACTCTTTCAATATCCTGCCGCCTCTGAAGCCCAAGTAAGGGCTCAGCAGAATAGGCCCATATCTTAAGAAAATAACTTTCTTTAGATTGTTTGTTCGCCGTGATTGAAAAAGGGTTCAACGCTGCGGAATTCGAGATCTTCGAAGGTTAGGTTAAGATTAGGTTCTATGTTGGCATCCATGCGCTAAGAATGTGGAATCCGTTTGTTGCTTTCCATATTCATTGTATTTTTACTTTTTCGACTCTGTCACTATACGATCTGTTCCTTAGCTTTCCATGGGCAGTTAATATGCCACTTAGATTGCTATAGCTGTATCTTGTTTTTCATTTCTTTGCTCCGTGTGTGTTCTTAAGCCTATATCATGGATATAGAATTCTGAAGGCCTATGTCTTCTTGTTGCCTGTTTATCCTGTGATGTGCTCTCCTCTTCTGCACTGTACAAAGAATGCAGTGTTGATACATACTAGAAGTAACCACAAAGTCACAACTGAAATATTGGTGATTTGTGCTTTCATTATTGTTCTCACTTTTCTTCTTCAAATAGTATAGTACTGAATGTATGGGAGCTATGAGCTACACCTCCAGCATTCAAGACTTTTAAATCCATCTCATGGTGTCATTACTTTGGCATTTTATCTTCAGATTCCACTGTTTCAACTTCATGTTCTTAAATAAACTTTTCTTTTTTTTTTTCATGTGGACTCGGATATCAAATACGGCAAACAGGGTTGCAATGGAAATCATAAGTCATTGGCTTCATGGTTATTTTATGGCGGCAATTATATTGATCTAGATAGCTGTGAATTTGAACTTGCTGCGCAATGTATTATGCTACCGAGACAAGGAATTCTCCGACACGGATTTGAATGGGAGCTTTTTACATCTCTCCGGCAAAACAATATAGTTCAAACACTTATACAAGTGCGAAATTTGGGGACGGTATCTGATGATATTCAAAAAAAAAAAAAATGTGTGCTGATTGCAGGTCCCATCGTGATCATTCTAACAGATGGTAAGCCTTTCAACCCGGAGCTAGGTGCTCAATCAAATGTAGACATAGTTCTACTCTAGTCGACCTACAAGTGTCCAATGTTGGATTCCCAGAATCATATAGCCAGGAGAATGCATACCCTGGTTGCTGACTGGGATGGATTTCAATAGTGTTCACCAAATAGATTTATATGTATAAAATGGTATCAGAAGAAGGCGAAACCAAATCCTTCAGGCACAGATTGATAATGTGCCCATCAGCCATTTCCCGCCGAAGCTAGTTTCTTAATTTTGATCCTCAATTGAAACAAATCTCAAATGTTTCGAGGACTCCACAATAATCTCGATGTTATGTAGTTAGATTAGCTAAGTAGTACCTACTAGGTAGCAGAAGCCACGAAAGAATCCCACAGAAGAAGCCTGCAGTCTCCGTTTACTGAATCTGCCTTGTGTGTACGTATTTCTGTATGAAGGAGGAAGGAAAGTCCTCTCGTAAGAACCTTCTAGCCGTATAGCCCACCTGCGATGGACCATGAGAGCAAATAAAATATAAAGACGGCTCTGCCCAGATTCCATCAATCACAGAACCTATTCTGGTTGCTCGGTCAACCCTCTAGTACTTTTTTGGCTATTATACAACGCCAGGCGCGACAACCGCCTTCCGTATTTTCTAGCGCGCGCTCGGCAACCTCAACGCCTCTGCGCGTCACTCCACACCCACATCTATGTATATCCGTCTTTCGGCTCAACGTGACGCTTGGGAACTGCTGCTAACAGGCTTGGCTGCCTAGACTGCTTCCCACTTTCTTCTCCAATGGACCAGTCCCGACGAGAACAGCCGGGCTCGGCTGGCAACTTTCAAGGCGGGAGGTCAAACAGAGCCCCTGACGAGTTGACACCCACGTTCAATCGCCTTTCTCTTGCGACAGGTTCTGTTACATCTGGGCCATCCTCGTCACCGTCTCCTTCGTCACACCAGTCCCCTTCACGTTCCCTTGACACCAATCACTCCCATTCTCGCCATGACTCCCCTTCTAGAGCCTTCGCCAACCATCCATCCGTTCCCCGGAGAACCCCCAGCTCCAGCTCTTTGAGGGACGAGAGAAGAGTGTCCCCTCCTTCACTACAAAAGAGATCATCGGTCAGCTCCCTACGGTCTGTACAAAACTATAGCGGTAGTGGTGTTGCCCCTCCGCGTCCTAGCCTTTCCAGACGCGCTTCTTCTAATTTCCTCGCTACTACTTCTCCGAGCATGCGTCCCAAATCCCCAGCCCCAGAGCCTGCTCAGCCTGTGGTGCCAACGGCTACCGCCATCGCCCGAGAACATTTTGAAAAGGAGCTGGCTTTACACCAGTCTACAGATCTACAATCCAAAACACTCGTTCTTGTTCAAGATGCTTGCTATGGGCATAGGTTCTCCCGCCCAAGGACCTCCAAAGCTGGCCTGGAGCAAATTGTCGAACGACCAGAACGCCTCCTTGCGAGCATACTTGGCGTATCGACTGCCTATATCCGCATGGGGAGACGATATGGGGGCGGTCGATTTGCCCCACACCCAGACCTTGACGTTCAATCGTTACCGACTCCCCCCTTTCAAATAAGGAAAACGACGCGCACGATATCGCTTAATTCCCCTGCGGTTACCCATGTTCATGGCGCAAAATGGATGGAAGAACTACAGATTATGTGCAAAGCTGCAGAGTCTCGACTCGCGTTGAATGGAAAGGAGCTTGTCCGCCCCAGCAGCTCGGGAAGGGAGAGTGGCGCAGCAAGCACACCAAAACTACACGAGGGCGATCTGTATTTGTGTCGGGAATCCTTAAATGCGTTCGAGGGTGCATTGGGGGGGGTTTGTGAAGCAGTGGATGCTGTGTTTGGACCCACTTCTATTACTCGAGCGTTTGTGAATATTAGACCACCTGGCCATCATTGCTCAGTAGACTATCCGTCCGGGTTTTGCTGGCTCAATAATGTTCACGTTGGTATTACACACGCTGCAATGTCTCATGGCCTCACCCATGCTGCTATCATTGATTTCGATTTACACCACGGAGACGGGTCGCAGGATATTGCTTGGGAGCAAAATCGGAAGGCAAGTGCAGCTTCCAGGAATTCCCCATCTCATAAGAAAACGGCAATCGGTTACTTCAGTCTCCACGACATCAACTCGTATCCTTGTGAGGCTGGTGATGTAAACAAGGTTCGTAATGCTAGCGTTTGCATCGATAATGCTCATGGCCAATCTGTCTGGAACATCCATCTTGAACCGTGGAAAACTTCTGCGGGCTTTTGGGAACTTTACAATACGAAGTACTCTATCCTCCTTGAAAAAGCTCGAAACTTTCTACGATACCATACACAGCGTTTGATAAATTCTCAAAATCCGTCGCTTCCCAAAGCAGCTATTTTTATATCTGCTGGGTTTGATGCTAGTGAATGGGAAGGCGTTGGTATGCAAAGACACAAGGTCAATGTACCGACAGATTTCTATGCCAAATTCACAGCAGATATTGTGCAAATCGCAGAAGATGAAGCCCTGGGCGTTGATGGCAGAGTTATAAGCGTTTTAGAAGGAGGCTACTCTGACCGAGCTCTCATAAGTGGTGTGCTCAGCCACCTGTCAGGGCTTGCGGACAGCCAGAGAACTGGTTTTGAAAACGGTGATAACCGCCTCGCTACTGAAATGATAAGTCGCCTTGGTTTGAATGACTGCCCTGAGACTGTCTTAGAAGAGGATTCAACTTTTGATACTGAGTGGTGGACACTCCCCATGCTGGAAACCCTCGAACTGCTTGCAAACCCACCGCCTCCAACCCCGGCTCGCAAATCTCGTGAGAAGGGGCCTCCGACATATTGTTCTCCAACCCAGGCATCAGCTGCTAAGATCGTTCTGCCTTCCCGTGACCGGAGATCGATTTCATCGCAGCTTAGTGCAGGGGACAGTGGATATCCGCGTCTTCCACTCCCAGTCGTTGACTGGGCAACTGCAGCATATGAAATGTCGAAAGTTCTTATTCCTACCAATCGCCAGACTGTGAGTCTCCAGCACTCAGAATTAAAAGGTGAAAATACTCGGACAAAGCGTGACCGCCATTCAACCTCGAATGTTTCAGAGTTGAATGCGGCTGATGATCGGAAACCAATGCAATTGAGGGAGAGAAAGCCGAAACCACCATCGCCAGAACACCTAACTACTAAGCAACCTTCAAAAGCTTCGCGAAGGGCCACCATCGCCTCGGTGAGCGACATTCCCGATGCCTCTGCCACCGAACCTCCTGAAAGTTGTAACCAAAATCCCAAGCCTGTTGATTCGCACAGTTCACGACGCCTTAGTGTGGCGTCGACGGTGGCATCAACTGGTGGCGCCCGTAGCAGGGGCAGCGTAGAGGAAACTTCACCACCCTCCTCAAATGGGAGTAGCGCCCGTAGGATAGATTCACGCCGGGGGACCTCGAATGGGAAGTCTGGGGAACCACTAACGGTGAAAAAACTCGGAGGTGTCCGGACCAGTCCGAGAAAGCCATCGGCAGCTCGACAAGCACGACCTATAGGCGGTGGCCCCATTCCCCCTGTTCGCTCATCGTCTATAAACACAGATACTTCAGAGCGTGATCTCACCAATCTCTCCGCAGGTATGAGAACGCTTAACATCAAATTAAAAGTCCCAAGCCCGGAAGAGCATGCGGCGAGAGAAGAGGAACGCAGGAAGATTGCTACTAGCAGATCCGCTTCCAGGAAATCCCAGACCTCGAAAGCATCTAGATCTAGCAGCACAACGGCCACCGGGAAGGTCTCAAACCCTGACACTGCGCTAGCCCAGTCTCCACCTCCGCCGCCTGTTGCTGGCACTACCCTATCCACCCGCTTCGACCCTATCAAGCAGGAAATGGCACACCTCCCTCACAAAAACTCTGATATTGAGGGAATTCCTATCCCGGACCTATCGTCTTTCCCACATTCAGCCAACTCATACAGCGAGGTGGTACGGGGGTGGCCATCCGACCCAACAACCAAGCGTACCCACATCGAGCCATCAAAAAACCCCTCCCCTGCCAGTAAGCTGGAGCTTGACGTACCTCCCAGATCATATGCTCATATATCGCCTCCGCTATCCCCTCTATCCCTGGAGAACTCCGGCACCCATCCTCAGATTACTGTAAAGCCTCCGTCTGCCCCGCTGAGTTATCACATCGCTGCCGCTGCACAACCGTCAAATAAACAGCTCCCAATTTTCACATTTAAATCCCGCCACATCTACCTCCGCTATACCGTTCGCCACACCTACCGCTTCCAATGCGCCATCCGTTCTGTGCGAGGAGGAACGTCGGGAGTAATACAATGAGGATCAGTCAGCTAGGATCCATTCGCGCTATTTTCCCTGCTCATATCTCTATTTTGCTCTATTTGCCACTTTCACTATTTGCTTTTATATGTGCCCTTGCTATTATATGTTTAATCATCCTTCTCTTTCTTGTCATCTGCATACCCGGCCCGCCTTGGTGTTGATTAATTGCGCTTCGATCGACTTTAATCTTCAACTGCTGTTTCTTTTTCCAATTTTTCTTTCCTTTTTGCTTTTTCAATTAGTTCGTGAGCTACTATTCCATTCCCATTAATTTTTTCCTTGTTCGTCTTTCTTTTTCCTTGCTTTCTTTTCCGTCTTAAACTTTTGTACTATTTTATTTGTATTTTATTTTTATTTTTACTTTTTTAAGCTGCCATACCCACTAGCAGCCACATCTTGTCCGGTTGTAAAAGCTTCTCTGATTTTTTGTGACTACAATTATACCCCTTGTAAGCCAAAAAGCTATCTATTGTTCTAGCAAGTATGTATTTCCCCGCGCTTTACTGTAATACTACTATGTATTTTCTTCAAAAGGGAAATTGAGAAGGAACGAGATTCATTGAACGAGATTCATTGTTTCTCGGTGTCTGAGGGAGAAGCTTCGCGATTTGGAATCAAACTCCTTTGTCGTATGGGCATTGGCGAAGAAGTAAATTTGATCTTTCTCTCCTAGCACTCTGGAGCTTGTGTCAGAGGACACTGAGGCTTTTTACTTTTTGCATTTTTACTCTTTTATTTTTCGTGACGCTTAATCAATTTCCTTTCTATTTCAATCCAATAGTTGACTCTCAAAACTAATCCGGTCATATGAATGTCTATCTAAGAACAGGTCTCGACTAGGTATGTGTCAAGATTGAATTTATTCTCGCCTGGAAAGAGCTGGAAAAGGATGCAAGGAGGCCGCATGCGGCGGTGTAGCGCCTAACGCTCCGCCCACTTCTCTAGGACGGGTTCCCTCTGTAATCTCAAGTCCCACGCTATAATAAATACATCTAGTACTTCTGTGGACAGTCTCGAGAAAATACCCTTCGCAGAGTAATCGAGCAGTGGCAAAGCTCATATAGAGGAGGCCTCTCACGCAAGCTATACACACTTTGGTTATCTAGACGATGCAAATCCGCTCACGTGTGTACTAGAGAACGGCTTCCCTCGCTAAAGCGTTTATTTTTGCGGCTCGAGGTGGTCTTCCTCCGTTGCCTTTTTTACGAGCCTGAGACTTTATGATCCCCTGAGGTCGGCTCTGTGAGGAGGGCTTAGAGTTGCTTTTCCTAGGCTGAGTCCTTCGTTCCCTTCGGGTGTCAGCCTTGGGTGCTGTGGTGCTTTCCTTTGATGTTTTCTGCGTTGCTTGTTGCTCAACATCTCTTAATGCCGTGGCTATGGCGTCGTGTTTCACGAATCGACTCAGCTTCAGCTTCCCTTTCCTGGATGCCTGAGGCTTTGTAACTCCTTCGGGTCGACTGTGTGGACCTGGCTTAGACTTCTTTTTCTTAGACTAAGTACACTTGACTCCGTTTGGGTGGGTGCCATCATGCCCAACTTTGCTGTTTCCCGCGTTGCTTATTGCTGAGCCTTTTTTGATTCCATGTCAATAATTCGTTGACTCCTGCGCAATGAACCAGTCTCAGTCAAGGACCTAGAACGTATCTTTCGTGTTGAACTGGATCCAATTTTTTCTCTAGCTTGTCCTATACTCTTTCCGCTTTGATCTGGTGGTACCAAAGAGGTTGTTCTCAAATCTTCCTGGCTAGGATGTTTAGCAGCAACATCAGGATATACCACCCTGCGTGAAGAGACTAGTGGTGAACCGATAATTCCAATAGCAGCTGGGGATTTCTTCGGACCACCAACTGAGCGTTCACTCTTCCTCAAAGGCTTCTCTGCACTTGGAGGCGCTGTTTCGGCATGTGATGATCGCAATGACGTAGATTTCCCTCCTTTCATCTTCCTTTCCAGTAAGACGGGATGCATCGCCAATTCCTTTATCGGTAGGCTCTGTAAATTCTTGCTCAATTTGGCGAAGCTCGGCTTCTATCCATCGAATCCAACTCAAGTATTTATCCAGTCGAGATTCATCTCGTGTTCGCACATGGTGGATCCAGCCCATATCCCCAACAAATATTCGTAGCCCTTATATTCACGCGAGCGGAGTTTCGGCACCGCTAGACAGCGTACGGCAAGTTCCAGCGGCCATCATCGAGCCATGCACGCCAAAACGGCAACAATCGCGTACTAATTCCAGTGCCCGTCGTGTCAAGCGCCCACGAAATCTGACAAACTCTGACGCTCAGGGCCAGTTACAAAGGGAGCGCCAGGAGGAGTCCTTTGACAGTTCCGTCTTTGGTGGATAAGAAGCGACGGCATGATCCCAGCGCAGGCGCTGTTCAGCCGTTGTCAGGACAATCACGGAACACGGGCGTCTCTACCGTGGCCGCTTCGCGTACCAACTGACGAGTAAAGGTTGGTTATTTCCAGGTATCTCTACTCAGCCTTGATTTGTGCACGGGAATAACGAGCTTAGTAGCTAGTGAGATAGAGGATAAAGTCAGGCGATGAAACTTCCGGTCTTAAGAAGCCTCTGTCTGCGTGGTGTTGAGATGCTTGGATAGCTCCGTTAAATAAACTTCCCGCGTTTGAAACACGTGGAGCCTTATGTCATCATTGCAAAGTCCCGTTCCTTGGCCAGAACATTCCCGTGCCTTCTCCGTCGTCTCCATCTCCTCCTCCATCATCATCACCACCATCATCATCATCATTGCTTTGCCGCCTGCTCTATGCAGTGGCCTCAGCCAATCGACAGTCATAGGTAGTATACCTTGATTGGTAATAGACTCCTCCGGCTGACCAACATTTGTCCCATATCATATCACATCAGAGAGTGCCAATCCTGAGCTCCCCAGCACTCATCATGGCTCCTATAACATTCTCTACAGGCACCCCGGCCCAGCAGCTGGAGGAATCCTCATTTACGCAAATGGACCTCGATCGTGACCTTGAATCCATAGGCAAACATTGCCAGTTCTCATACTGCAACCAGCTCGATTTCCTCCCTTTCCGCTGCGAATCCTGCAAGGGCACTTTCTGCCTCGATCACCGGACGGAAACTGCGCACAAATGCACACACGCAGGAGAATGGGCAGCTTCCCGACGGAAAAACTCTATCGGAGCCACAGGTACCAGAAACAGCAGCATGATCTCCTCTCTTCCGCCGGTAAAACCTACCGTCTACAACTCTACGCAATGCTCACACCCATCCTGCAAAACCCTCATCCACACGTTGCAAAATACCGGCGTTCACTGCAACGAATGTAACCGCCAATACTGTCTCAAACATCGCTTGCGCGAGGACCATGACTGCGCCAAACTCACCCCGATAGGTGCGCGGCCTACCAGACAAGGGCCGTCCCAGACTGAAAAGGCACGGCTAGCATTCTCCCGCCTACGGATGTGGGGGAAAGATAAATCCTCCACGGTCGCCTCGAATCTGACTCCAAAGCCGAAACCCAACACCGCTGCCGCGCGCATGGCGATGCTTGCAGAGCTGAAGAAGAAAGCAAAAGGCGACCCTAACCTTGCGCTGCCGAAGCGGTTTTACTTGCATGTTGAAGCGTCTGCGGACACCACAACGGCGAAGTATCCCACTGGTGATTTTTATTTCGACTCCGCTTGGAGTGTGGGCAAGGTTTTGGACGATGCGGCACGCAGGTTGCAGGTGCAAAATGTCAATAATAGAGTTGCTGGCGAGGCGGAGAGGCTGCGTGTCTTCCATGTTGAAGGCGGGAAGTTGCTAGAGTTCTCCGAAAAGCTTGGCGCCTCTGGTGGTGTTGCGCAAGGAGACACCATTGTGCTACTTCGCGGTGTTGGTCCGCCGCCAGACCTTGCTATAGAGCGGTGATAGTAGATAGTCTTCTATTGGGCTTGATATCCCCTTTTTTATATCCGTGGGTGGTGATGGCTCTAACGATTTTATTTTTTATTTATTTATTCATTTATTTTGGATTTATGTAACTAATGACAGTTTTTGATCCCTGACTTCCCGGTGTTTATGGCCTTCCTCTGTTTGATGATCAACGCTTACCCCATTTCATGACAGCATTAGCGTGTTCCCAGCATCGCACTTTTGTCGCGCACTCTCGGAAAAGAAGTATATTCCCCATCCCTTTTTTTTTTTTTCTGATCTCGATGTATACATAGAAATATATGAAGATTTATATACCCGTTCACCTGAACCCAAAGCACCGGTTGCGAGGATGTTCAAGAGCGTCATAGAATAGCATCAATTGATATGATATACTGTCAAAATGATATAGCAGATACTAACTGTCTATTAACAACTCGACAATATCAGAATGCATTCGACATTTCTCCATGTTTTCGAAACGTGGGGTGCTAAGGAGAAGTGTCATAAAACTCCCAAACAAATCCCTAAACACTCATTTTCATCTTGATCCCCTTGTGCGGCTTATATCCCCCATAATTGGAAACTCCTCCTCCTTCCACCCATCCATAATCCCCG